GAGCCGCCGCCGCCGCCGCCGCCGCCGCGAGCGCGAGCACGAGCACGCACCTGCTCTCTTCGCGTCGTTCTCGCCTTTTTCACTCTGGAGAATCGATCGAGCAAAGGATAAAAGTACCCACGTGGTGGACTCGCAACGACAAAACGAATTTCCTCGCGAGCAACCGCTACAGGACGCAACTCATCGGATAGAAAGTTCATTTTATCGATTTCTGTTGGAAAGATCGGACAGGTGTGAGACAACGATGTTACACCTGCGCGGATAACCGTATATCGGCTCTACTGTTACGCTAAAGTAACGCGTCGCGGTACGCTTTACCTTTCACGCGGCTCTTCTTATGTATACCTATTTCCGCTTTATGGATAGTCCACTTTCCATCCAACCTCCATCTTCTATCTGGCGCGTTCTTTCGTCTTTCTTTGAAACTTCCTCCCCCTTTCGAAGGTCCTGTCGCGCTCCTCTCGCGGCTCGACACGCGTCGATCAATTCCACGAAACGATAACGTCACGTGCCAAACTATTACACCGGTTCAAAGGTAAATACCTTCGATTGGAAAATCGTCAAACTACGACACACTCTCTCTCCTTCTCTCTCCTTTCAACGATCGATCAATCACGCGACGCGCGTCGTAAACGCTTGCTCTCTTTTTCCCTTTTCCATTCGTTCTCGATCGATCACGACACACGCGGACGTTACATCGTCGGTATTTTCCCCGTTCCAATGCGTGCCAACGATCGACAATGCAGCAATCTGCGCGTTCCCTGCAGTCGGTCAAACAGAATATCGCACTTACCTTACAACACTCGACGCGTTCACCAGTTGCTGTTTTCCTTTCTCTCCGTCAGCTAGATATACATATATTTTATGCGCCTGCATACGTTCTACATGTACGAATATATGCATACATATATGGAACATAACGAGATTTAGAATGTATAGTACGCAACGTATAGGAAGATTTGGTTAAAGAAAAGCACGTAAACGCGATCGATAAAGGCGGGAAAGAAAATTCATTCATTCGTCATCTTGTTACTACGTAAGCGTAAAATTGCATTAAACGGGAAAGGTTTTGTTGAAATTTTTTCGCGACGAAACATTAATTCTCATCTCCGAAGCGAATAACGGATAATGTATAATCGATTTCCCTTCAACCGGAATAGACAGAGCTGAAATTCTGTTAAAACCTTAACGCTCTTCGAGGCGGAACGATCGTAATTTTTAAAAGGTGCTGGCCGTTCATCGTTCGCTTGGCCAGAGTGCTCGCACCTTGACAACGGTCAATCGCGTTGTTACTCTCTTGTTGAAAAGGAGCGGTCGGTAAGCCTCTTTTACATGTGTATACGCGCGCGTTAGCTTCAGGACTCCCGCTATCTAACTCCATTTCCTTTCCTTTCCCTTCGACCGGGCACGATCGCGTACGCTCGGTCGAGTACAAAAACGATAAATTCTAATTACAAGAAGACGAAGAGAAGGTAGAGCAGCGTGCGGACGTTACCGTTGATGCGCGAGAAACACCGCCAACTTATAATATGCTGCGATACGTACGTAGATCGGAGATGAACTTTAAGAGCAAGTAGCAACTAATCGACCGACGTTTCCGCCACTCTCCTAACTTCCCCGTCGACTAGTTCCTTGGAAAATGGTTAGATCGACTGGCACTCTACGCTCCCCCGAGGGAGAAACCGAACCGTATGTCATTTTCCAGATTTAACTGTTGCAGGGAGCAGACCAGTTTCCCGCCACCATTTCTCACCATCCGAATATGTCGGTTTAAATAAATCCCACCGTCTCAGATTGATTTCTATATTTCACGTCTAGACAAATATCCCATAAAACCGAGGCAGTTATTTCGTTTTAACGCCTAACGATACCGTTCTCCTCGACGCTTCGTAATCTCCCGTTCCGAAACCCTTTCTATAAAAGGACAATCACCCTGGATCAGATCAAAGGTTTACTCCTTTTATTCTTTATTTCTTTACTCCTTTGCCGCGAATAACAAGTTTTACGCAAAGGTCCGTCCTTTTTTTCTCGCTCCAAACTCTTTCCGCCCAACCGTATTGCCAGCGAGCAAATTGATAATCGATTAATTCACCGATTTTCCGAGGGAAAACCGACGCAGTTTCCCGTTTAAATCGATTTACACAATCGGAAGTGATTTAAAGGTTAGTTTCGCAAACGAACGGAATTCCTCTCTCCCCTCTCCTCCTTCCCCATTTTCCTCCTTCCCGTTTTTTATCTCAGCCGAATTCCTCCCGAAGCGAAGAATTCCCAATGTCGACCCTGGGAATGACCGTCCATCGTCACCTTGTCCGACCTTTTACCATGTACTAGATATGTATAACGCGGTGCGCCCGCGGCGGCGGCAGTGGCCATTTGTTTCGTGCAACCGGCAGCCCGTTTCAGGAGCATTATTAAAATGGGCTATTAGGTGCCGGTATTTGCATGCCGGTCGAGAATGGTAGACGGCGCCCTGTAAAAGGGGCAGGCTATAGGCGCCACGATAAACGGTAATAAAGCGATTCTCTGGTTCTCGTAGGCGAACCGAGCAGAACGAAGAAAAGAAAGTTTTCGCGTTTTATCCTTGGACCTGTTGGATTGACGAATCCGAGAGACGAATCAACAGGAACGAACGAACGATCGAAAAATAATAGTTATCGTTGACGTTTCTCCTCTTGGATGGAGCGCGCGAGATTAGGCTGGACGACTGTTTGAGAAAAGGCGCGCACGTCTTGAAAAGGAAAAGCAATCGTGGCAGGAGAGAGAATGGCGACACGCTACGTGACTAATGTTACGAGCAACGAGTTACCATTTTCTTTTTCAGTTCTGTGTCGGTACACGCTTATTCTATCTTTTATTATACTAAGATAGAATACATCGATATCTCACACGTATCCCGATCTACGAGTGTTTTAACTTTCTCTCCCTCTTGATTTAGGGGCAGGAAAAACAAAGGGAAAGGAGGAAAGCGGAAAATAAGGAAGAGAGTTGGAGGAGGAGGAGGAGGAGGAGGAGGAGGAGGAGGAGGAGGAG